TTCTTTTCTTTTCTCTTCCACGCTTGTGTTTCTCTTTCTTTCTCCTTTTTTTTCTCTTTATCCTCTTGCTTTTCTTTCCTCTTTCTCCTTTTCTTTTCTTTGCTCTTACTTTTTCTCTTCTCTTCTCTTCTCTTCCTTTTCTCTTCTCTTCGCTCTTTCTCTTCACTCTTTCGCTCTTTCTCTTCCCTCTTGCTCTTCTTTATCTCTTTCGCCGGACTCTTTCTCTCTCTTTCGCTCTTTTCTCTTCTCTTATATATTCGCACATCATTCCTCTTTTGGTCTTCTTCGCTCTTTCTCTTCTCTTTGCTCTTTCTCTTCTCTTATTCTCTCGCTCTTCTCTTCTCTTTCGCTCTTTCCTCTTCTCTTTCGCTGTCTATTCTTCTCTTTCTCGGTCTCTCGTTCTCTTTCTTCTTTCTTTTTCTCTTTTTTCTCAATTTTCTTTTCTCCTCTTCTTTCTTCTCTTTTCCTCTTTTTCCTCCTGTTTTCTCTTTTCTTTTTCTCTTTTTTCTCTTTTTCCTCTTTTTCTCTTTTTTCTCTTTCTCTTTTCCTCTCTTCCTCTTTTCCTCTCTGTTCCTCTTTTCCTCTTTTCCTCTTTTCCCTTTTCCACCATCCGTCTTTTCCTCTTTTCCTCTTTTCCTCTCTTTCTCTATTTCTCTTTCTCTTTCTCCATTCTCTCTCTCTCAACTCTCAACTTTCTCACCTCACTCTCTACTCTCACTCTCTCTCTCTCTCTTCTCTCTCTCTCTCTCTCTCCTTTCTCTTTCTCTTTCTCTTTCTCTTCTTCTTTCTTATCTTTCTTCTTCTTTCTTCCTTTCTTTCTTTGGCTTTCTTTCTATTCTTTGCTTTCTTCTTTCTTCTTCTTTTCTTTCTTTGACTTTTTCTTTCTTTGACTTGTGTCTTTCTTTCTTTCATTTTTCTTGACTATTCTGCTTTCTTGCTTGCTTGCTTTCTTTGGCTTTCCTTGCTTTCTTGCTTTCTTGCTTTCTTGCTTTCTTGACTTATCTTTGCTTTCTTGGCTATTCTTTGCTTATCTTGTCTTTTTACTTTCTTCTTTCATTTTCTTTCTTTCTTTCTTTTACTTTCTTTCCTTCTTTCTTTTCTTCCTTCTCCTCTCTCTCATCTCTCTCTCTCTCTCACTCTCTCTCTCTCTCTCTTCTCTTCTTCTCATCTCCTCTACACTCTACTCTTCATCCCGTCTCTCGTCTCCTCCAGCATCCTCAACCTACTCTCTCTTTAACTTCCTTACTCTCTCTCTTACTCTCTCTACTTCACTTCTCTCTCCTTACTCTCTCTCTTACTCTCTCTCTACACTTCGTCTCCTTACCTCCTCTCTTCACTCTCTCTCTACTTCTACTTACTCTCTCTAACCTGTCACTCTCCTACTACAAACTTTACTCTCTCTCTACTCTCTCTCTCACTCTCCTCGCCTTACCTCTCTTCATTCACACTCTCTCTACTACTTCACTCTCTTACTCTCTCCATCCTCTAATCCTCTCTCACAACTACTCTCTCCTAACAAACTCATCATCTATCATATACCTACGAATCTATATATACTCTCATCTATTACTCTATCCACTATATACTTATACTATACCTATACTACTCTCTAACTTATATCTTAATAACTACATATCTTACAATTTACTACTCTACTCTTACTCTCTCTACATTACCTCT